CGCCTCCCACGATTTTCGCCCTCTCTTTGGAGCGGCACTGGTCTGAATTGGCGACCCGTCGGGGAGTTCTGGACCTGCCGAATTACGGGGGGCATGCTGCTTCGCAGAGTCCTCTGCCCTCTTCCGAGCCTACGCAGCCCGCGCACCTCCTCCCTCCTCCTCCTCCTCCTCCTCCTCCTCCTCCTCCTCCTCCTCCTCCTCCTCCTCCTGCCGGCGTCAGCCACGATGAAGCATCGGTGGAAAATGAGGTGCACATGCGCTTCTTAATTTCCAGCCTCGTCCTCAATACGGGCCCAAGGCGGCTCCAGGTCGTCCCAGGGCAGGTCGAGAGCCCCCGCCCGAAGGTCCGGCCGGCTCCAGGATCACCCAAGAAAGCCCAGAGAAGGCACGAGAAGGCCCAGAATCAGCCCAGGCCAAGATTACCCTCATTGCAGGTTTCGGCAGCAAGCAGCAGCAATCATAAAGCCAGCCAGCCATCCAGCCAGCCAGCCAGCCAGCAAGCCAGCCAACCAGCCAGCCAGCCAGCCAGCCAGCCAGCAAGCAAACAGCAAGGAAGCAGCAAGCAGGCCAGCTAGCCAGCCAGCAAGCAAGCACGTAAACAAACAGCACACAAGCAACACACCAATACACATCGGCAAACTGTTCGGAAGCAGCACTAGCAGCAAGAAGTTTAAATGAACAAGCAATGACAAACACACGCTGCGCAAGCTGGTCGACCTGGATGGAGTCCACCCGTCAGCCCTATTCCCTCCTACATGGTCGGCAGAAGCGCGTGCCGGAAGGATAAAAACGCCAAATGTCAGTAGAGCCCTCCGGCGGGGCCAGAGGCCCCCAAAACGCTACAAGTGGACTCCCAGAAGACACCCGAGAGAGCCCGCACAAGCAAAGATCGTCCCAAACCCATGGGAAAACGTACATTTTCGCAACTCCCGTGCTTTTCGTGTTCAAAGCGTGCACGACGACAATACGGGCCCGAAATATCGGCCCAAGACGGTTCAGGAGGCCCCCATGAGGCTCCCAAGACGGCCCCCGACGGCCCCAGAACGGCCCAAGACAGCCCCAGGACCGCTCCTGAGGCGCCCACAATGGTCCAAGAGTCACCCAAGGCAGCCCCGAGCGGTCAAAGACGGCCCAAGAAGGCCCCAAGACGGCCCCAAGCCGGCCCCAGAGGCCTCTAAGACGGCCGCAGACGGCCCCAAGACGGCCGAAGGGGCATCCAAGACGGCCCAAGAGGGCCCCAAGAGGCCTCCAGGAGGCCGCAAGATGGTCCAAGGGCGTCCCAAAAGGCCCCCAGGAGGGCGAAAAGAAACCCCGAGAGGCTCCCTACGGCTACGGTCACCAAGGAGAAGGAAACGCCGGCCATCAGTGGCCGCATAGGGAGCGTTGCCCTCCTTTGTGGGTACGGGCGCGAGCGAAAGAGCGCCGAATAATGCACATCAACATGGGCGCTACTTCCCTTTGCTATGCCTCCCAGCTCCGGGGCGCCCTTCGCCGCTGCCGCCCAAGTGAGGCGAGATACACCAGAGGCCTCCAGGGAGCGCAGTCCCTAACACAGTCTGATCCCAGAGGTGCGCGGAGACGGGGCCCAAAAGGACGTGCCTCCCTGCGCGTCCACATTGAGCTCCCATGCAC